CAACGATGGTGCATGCAGGCCGGAGTGAGTTAGAACAAACAAACAAAACCCAGTAAGAGCATCAGGTGAGCGATGAGAGAGCACAAGTGTGTTTACTAACTAACACAACCACACACTAGCCATAATTTCTTTAATGGTATAGGTTTCCATTCAAGTTTTTCTGTAAAAAACAAACATCATCGAGTATCTGTGTTTTTGCTTGAATGGAGAAAGAGAGCGAGCAAAGTAAGAGAGACTGCTGGTATCCGTGCCCCCAAGTGAGCCTGGGCGTGTAAGTGTGTGTGTGCGTGTATGAAATAAACATGTTGTTTACTGTGTGTAAAAATTTCAATACATTTCAGTGGATGCGATCAGTTTGAAAAGTAACGTCACATGAGTTGGTAGTAAACAAAAATACTCAGCTTAACGGAAAAACGTGTTGCTCCGTGTAAATGTAAGACGTGTTTTTGTGGTGCATTCTTTAGCAAGCAAGTTGTTGGAAAGATAAAAACGACAACAACAACGAAGTTGCATAAAAATTTAATTTTTTGTTTTGGAGCAGTTTTAGGTTTTTGTGGATTCAATTTGCTGAGCTATAACATTTTTTTTTTTTTTATTTTTTGAAAGCAATAAAAATTCAATGTAAATATTTACAAAAATTTAATGAAACAACAAGAAAAATATTCAACGGCAATAAATTTGTTTTTGTTTTTATTTGCTGGCAAAGTGTGTAAATATTTTATCAGATAAGCATATAAAGTTTATATACCAAAAAATTAAAAAAGAAGAAATAAAATCGCAAACATGAAAACCAAAAAAAATGATATTGTTGTGAAGAATAAATGCATAGCTGTGATCTGGCTAGGTGGATGGCTGGCTCGCTGCCTGCCTGACTTGTTGGTTAGTTAGTTTGACGGCGTTGGCATAATCGCGTTCGCGCTTAACTCGCGAAATACTCACTCACTCACCCATACGCAAACAAACTGCTGGCCTACACCAAATTACTCACAAACACTCACACACACACATAGACGCATAGCGCTATATGACAGCACCAGTTTTGTATTAAAGCGCAAATCTTTAAAATGCAAAATAAAACAGCAACAAAAACAAACACAACGTTACGTTTTAATGAATGAATGATTTGATGGCTTTTATGAATGAATTTGTTAACAAAACACCCAACACAGCAGAACAACAGCAAAAAAACGACACAAAGCCATTGAGAGAAGCCGCAAAAACAAGAAAGAAGAAAAATAACGCGAAATAATGAACGCGACGATGATCATCGCAGATCAACCCAGCAACCAACAAGGCAAAACCACTAGCATCAGCAGCAGCCCCGCAAACACCACGAACCACCAGCCAGCTCCAGTCACAGCATCAATGAAAAAAAAAACAGCAATAATATGCTTCTTCTCGATTTTTTTCTACATCAAAACAAAACTTTAAACAAGTTGGTGTGTTTTTGTTGTGTTGCTGCTGTATTTTTCGATTGGAATTTTTATTAATCGAAACGAGTCGTAACGAAATTAAAAAAAAAAACAGCTACGAGAAAAAAAAATGCCGATCAAGACGATAAAGTGAAAATATTTTTTTAAACAAAAACAAAAATAAAATTGTAACGAAAATTTCGAATCGAATGAAAAACAAAAAACAGATATAATTAAAAATTGGTGTTAATTAAATAATTGGAATTTTTGTGTAAATGAAAATAACTAACGTGATAAAATACAAATACAATTTAATGAAAATCAAAGGAGATTATTAATGGAATAATAATAAATAAATAATACAAACGGATACTCTAATATGTGTATCTAAATTATGTTAGCCTAATTTTGCAATGTCCAATTGGAAACTATATTTATATTTGAGATGATTAATTCAGAACAAACAACAGTCGAACTTCCATAATTCAAAAATCCATAAGTCCAATTTAATTGAAGTCGAAGTCGACCATTTAGTGACAGTAGCATTAAGGAGCCAAATTTTAATTATTGTCATAACTCAAAATTTCCATAAATTTATTTTTGTTTGTGGAAGTTCGACGGTAGTGCAGTTGATTGTACAATTCTCTTATGACCCTGAAATTTTCTTATAAATAAATTTTGATTAGAATCCACATCGGAAGATGAACCTTCTTCAATTTTGTTAATCAACTTTTTTAGTTTTTTAGTGAATTTAGTCCGAAAAATTATCATCAACCCTGTGTAAGAAATGTCGAACATTTGGATTTGACCCCACTATGTTCTTATAAATAAATTTTGATTAGGATCCACATCATAAGATGAACCTTCTTCAATTTTGTTAATCAACTTTTTTAGTTAACCCGAACGATCCAGAGGTGGTGAATTTAGTTCGAAAAATTATCATCAACCCTGTGTAAGAAATGTCGAACATTTGGATTTGACCCCACTATGGATATTAGCAATCACGCTCCGACGAGGGCACATTGGGAGATAAACTGGTCGTCTATATACACGTTGATACGGTAAAAATGTGCCTCATCGAAATAATAGATTTAGGGATCCATGTTTCTTTGGATCAAATCCGTTTCAGATATTTTAGAGATTTACCAATGTACGTCCGTCTCTCGAAAGATTTTACCCAAACTTTGCACGTTGTAATATTTCTTCCAAACGGTTTCGCGGTTAGGCATAAGCATTCCTTGAATAGTTGTCTCTGAGGGAAGCTGCCGTCGACAATTTCCAAAAATCGTAGAGTTCTGTTTCAATTCAATCATGAATTTTGTATCTTCTAAAACTAGACCCATATATGGCTACAACCCAAGATTCTTAAGTCCATATACATTTCAGACAATATACGGCGTCTCTACGAGATTTCGTAATATTTCTTAAAAATTTAAATTAATTTCCATGATGGAAAATAAGGTCCACTTCTTATCCCACAAAAGGGTTAAATTTTGTTGGAAATTAATTTTATACTTTTAGATTGGGGAAAAAGAAATCCATTATTTTGTATATGAATTATATATATTTAACATGCTTCGGAATATCCGATTTGGGCCAAATATGCACCGTTTTGTTGTATGATTTGTTGCCATTTTAAAAGTTAATTTCATAATGCCTCTCTCTATTTGCAAAAAAAAAAAAACTTTAGTAGTCGATTTTCGAAGTCCTCCCTGAATACTAATTTTTTATCATTAAAGAAATTTTCCAATGCAAGAAAAAATTGAAAATCGCTTGGTGCCAAGTCCGGACACGACAGCTCTCCTGTTGGCCAATTCTGGCCGTTTCCTGTCAATTGCTATCTTCAAACGGTCCAGTTGTTGGCAGTAGAGATCAGAAGTTTAAGCGTTTGGCCATATGGAAGCAACTCATAATAAATAATCCCCTTCCAGTCCCACCAAATGCATAGCTGAACCTTCCTGGCCGTTAGTCCTGGGTTGGCCACAGTTTGAGGTCCATCACAGCTCTTTGATCACGATCGTTTTCACACAGGGTTATCGTATGTGATCCATTTCTCATTTCCAGTCACCATCCGTTTAAGAAATAGGTCTATCGCATTCCGATGGGCCAAGGCTTCGCAGATAGAAATTCGATTCATCCTGGATTTCTTATTTCCCAACCTAATATGTTGAGAATGCGTATGCGATTTGAACCAAAGTATTCTACAGCATTATTTTTTACATATTTTTAAACAACACATATTTGTACTTTAATTCGTACAAATCGATGCACTCTTGTTGTTATAATCCATTTCCAAATTTGTAAAAATCGCATGAAAATTTTCACGAGTTCCATTGTTGGTTGACAAATAAGTTACTACACATTGTCGTACGTCAAACCGTACTGAGTAATTGGTGATTTATAGCGCATCATACCGAATTCGGTAACAAAAACCCAACCTATATATATATTTTAACCAAGCCTCTATAATGTTGGAAGATCGCGCTACTAGTTCCTCACACAAATGGTAAAATTTTAAAATTCATATGAAGCGAACTGAATATCCAATTTCATTCAAACATTGCACAAACTTTTGCCAAATCAAGATCAAGTCCAAAAATGGAGCCCATCGTCGTTGGGTCTGACTTATTTTCTGTATTTTTTTTAGTAAACAAATTAAAAAATTTAATTTTTTTCAAAATACTTTAATTATGTATTTATTAAAATACATTACAATTTTGAAATGTGCTTAAATTTTGCAAAACAAAATTAACACTGATTACAAAATATCTATAATATCTTCTTAGTCTGAAATTATCTTTAATATCTTAGTCTGAATGAGTTCTTATTGGCATTGCAAAATTATTTGTTTTTCTATTTTCCTGATCTAAAAAAAAATAATTCCCTTTTTTATTTATTTTTCTTTAGGTTTATATTTAAGGCAAACTTATTTATTAATTAAAAAACAACAAACGAAATTCGATGCCAAATAAAAAATACTAAAATACAAAAAACTAGTGAAATAATAATATACTCGTAAAAAACAAATATTGAAAACTAAAACCGAAGCAATAAAAATAACCAAACAACTACAGCAACAGAAAAATTACAAAATTAACAATTTACTTTTTTGCTGCTGAATATTATGTGAATAACAAAATAAAAAAAAGCCAGAAAAGCATCAGCGACGTCGACGTCGACGACAACAGCGACAACTAATTCAAACATTAGAACAATCAACAGAATAAATATTTGTCTGTGTGTTCTGTTGGTGTTGCTGTTTCTTTATTTTTTTTTTAAATTTTTCTACAAACCAAATAGAAGAAAGAAAGAAGAAAAAAAAAGCTCAAGGTGTACAACTACAAAAATTAAAGAGTAAACAGCGGCAGCGGTTACAGAACAGAGCACAAAGCAACAACAACAAGAACAGAGAGTCACAATTGAAAGTGTCAATTATACACTTCATTGGCAGCACTCAAGCTTAGAGGTGGAAACAATCCTAGACTGAAAAAATAACAAAAACACAAAAGCAACAACAACACAACTTGCCATTAGAGTGGTCTCTAGAAATAGCCACACCACCAAACCAATAGGTACAACAACAAATTGACGAAAACCAACAACAACAACAACAGTGGCAGCAGTACCCTCAAAAGCCATCAGAAAAAATGTTGAGCTTAACGATATTTATGCTAGCAACACACATCATAAATGCCTGCCATAGCACGCGCCTGCCATTGGAAGTCTACGAGCTGACACCCAACGCAGCAGGTGGCAATGATTTGAAGCATAAAAATCTTGAATATTCCACAATTAATGGCGGCAGCGTCCAACATTTTCTGGCCGTTAACAGTCACAAGCAACGGCCATCCGGCGCGTCAATGGTGGAGCCAGAATTAAAGATGTTATCTTCGTCGCATGACTCCGGGGCAGTAACTAAAACACTGACAGTGTCATCGATAAATGAAGCAGTGGCGGCGGCGGCGGCGACAACCACAACGACGGCGACGTCCACAACCTCGACAACAACAACAACAAATCAATTAGATCGCAGGAGATCGCGACAAATGTTGGATATAATGCAAAAAAGCCATCATGATCAAACAGGAAATCATAAATTACTAAGCTTGGCTGAAGGAACAGCAACTGGTGGTGGTGGCAGTCATTCACCAAAGGATGTGCGCATTTTATATCAAGTCGGTGTAAGTATGTTAAAGAAAAAAAAACTAATTCTGAAGAGATCTCTGTTTTACAGAGTTGAAAAAAATCGACAACAACAAAAACAATTTTATTGTTGTTATTTATAGTGTTTTATCTGTTCTCTTTTGTGCTGTTTTTTTTAATTAATTAAAAACGACAACGTTCCAGTTTTATTGTGTTCTGCTTATTTTGTTGTATTCCCCATCAAATGTCATAACTTTGACCCTCAATATGATCTTTGGTAAATTGTTTGATAATTTTCATTTTGTTGTTGTTGTTATTGTGGGGTAATATGATGATGCCAAGAAGACGAAAGAATAGTCCAATTGGGGAGCTCCGTATTGTACATTTCATAAATAAATTGTAAATGCAAAAACTGATATTATTTTCATTTGATAATATTGCAAAAATTAGAAATATTTCGCATACGAGGTTTACTAGAAACATTTCCGGCCTAATAATGGAAATGCAAATTTGTATCTTAAAAAAAATCATACATCTTCTTTCATCTTCAAAGTATTCTGCAGCATTGTTTACAAACTTTTACAAATAAATTACTATAAACAACACAACACATGTCTGTACGTAAAGTTATCTCTAAACTCCATTTCTCGTCTTTAAACTCCATTTCGAAAGTTGTAATAATTGCATGGGAATGTTCAGGAGTTACTTCCATTTTTCAGCTGGCGAATAAATGTAAACAACACAAAACATTGTCGTACGTCAAACCGTACTAAGTAATTGGCGATTGATGCTGCATCATACCGAATTCGGCAACAAAGTTCAACCTTTTTCATTATTCCATATTCAAAGTGGAGAATACTTTGAAGATGGAATAATGAAAAATGTTGAACTTTGTTACCTAATTCGGTATGATGCAGCATGGTTTACATAATTTTACAACTAAATTACTTTAAACAACACAACACGTGTTCGTGCGTCAGTTCGTAAAAATCGAAGCACTCTTGTCGTTATCATCCATTGTAAAAATTGCTTGAAAATGTTCACGAGTTTCTTCATTGTTGGTCGACAAATAAGTAAATGCAAAAAACACAACAAATTGTTGAACGTCAAACCGTACTGAATAATTGGTGACTCAAACTTTATTACGAACTGATACAGGCTGATATCTAAGAGATTCTTTCTTCCGGAGTAGTTGAGATTTTCACTTGAAATTGTAAAGGGACTTTCTTGAATTAGTGTAAGTTCAACCCAGTGAGCGGGGCAGTACAGTCGGACGGGGCCGATCATATGATACCCTACACAATTCCCATTATCTAACTTTATGTGGTTCTATATTCTGAGATTGGGCAATATTTCGCAATATTTGCACACTATTGACTGGCTAGAGGTCAACAAATGTTACTAGTAATCAGTACAGACCCTCTAATAACTTGTCCAGATTCTCTTCACCGTGGGTTGTGTTGTGATGTTCGGCTTTCGTTTCGAAAAGTACAAATAATTAAGTTTTCGCTCCACTTCATCCGAAAAATTATTATCTGATCATCACCTAACATTTTAGGCGTTGTTGACCATAACAGGAACCTCATAGAACATTTCAAAGCGATCAGCGCTATATTTCCGCCCATCAGTGTGATATTAGGTTACTAAATAATATATGAATACGTAAGCACTTGTATTTATATAAGTATAACTCCCGCATCCGAGTACCTACGACAATATAATTGGTATCAATTTAAATATATACGCCATAAAATACAAATTTTGTAATTTTTCACACAAAAGTCAGGGTCCATTTGACCCGCTAAATATTGACCGATCTTTATCAAATAAGATGTTTGAAATGGACCAAAAGAGATATTTGGTCCATTTCATCCCCTAAATATTAACCAATCTTTACCAAAACAATAGGATCTTCATTGGCCAGAACCCATCCTACATGCACAATTTCGTGAATATTGGTCCATAACTGTGGCCTGTATCATGTTTACAAATTATAATGGACAGACGGACGGACACACATGTCTAGATCGACTCAGCTAGTCGAGATCGGTATACTTAAAGGTGGGTCTAGGACCAATATTTCGCAGCGTTACAAAGCTATAATACCCTGACAACATAGTTGTGTAGGGTATAATTAAATAAAAAGCAAAATTCAATTCCCCTAAAGTTGAGGAATTTAGAGCTTATTTAAAAAACGTTATAATTAAGAAGAGTGTTAGAGCTTAAGAAATAAAGGCATTAATCCGCTGAGAGATTGGTACTTATTACAGGTAAAAATTGTCATAAAATCGAAAAAGGGAGGAAATTTGGTGCATATGAATGTCGTGTTATACCACCTTTATCCTTTACTTCTCCTACATTTTTTTATCACTCTAATCAAATTACTAAGTTAATAACTTCCCATTTTTTATGACAAATTTTCTGCGTGTACTTCTGCTTGAAAACTCGTTTTTTCAACATTTTTTTACATAATTTTATTTGTTTTAGATTTTCATACTAACGTCGTAATTTCAAACTTTATGCAACGTGTTGTGTTTTGCACCTGACTTTTATGATTTGTTGTTGTTTTTTTGTTTTTATACCACGTTTTTCGCTTCTTCGTCGTTGCAGTGTTTTTACGTTAGTGAAGAAAAAATAACAAAAACAACACTTTAACACCAACGCCAACAAAACATTATCAGCTACAAAAAAACGAAAACTGCATTTTCAACATCATTGGCACATTGATACCTAACTTGTAATCCACTTGAGTTGGGGAGTTTCGCTATGCGACCGGCCCACGCTAAATGAAGGCATGAAAAAAAAACACGAAACACCATGGATGGCAGTGCTCCACAGCCAAAGATAATGTTATTGGAAAAACAAATGTGATACTATAGCTTTCTATTTGATTAGAAATTCAGAAATATCTTCAAATGTTAATTCTATCAGATCGACATTTTTGTAAGATGAGGACATTTGGAAGAATTAAGATTGACTGATCATATCCAAGCTTAAATCTTTGATACTCAGCCTAAAATCTTTAAGAGTTATTATTTGGGTTCATAGGATAATTTATCAAATTTGGCGCCCAACGTCGCAGCAACCTTGATAATGAAGAAATCGAAATAATAGCTTTCTTATATTTTCTATGAAAAAAGTAATAAATACATATTAAGAAGTTGCTTTACAGTGGCGACCAACATCGATTTATTAACATAATTCTAACTTTGTTCATATATGAAAACAACGTACTGGTTACAATATATCCCCACTTTCCGATTGCTTTTTTTTCGAATATCCAGACCTTAACTTTTCTCTATGCAAAGCGAAAGTCTGAAACATTAAAGTGTTTGGCATTATTCTATTGGGAGCAATATCGTTGGGCGCAAAAAAAATTCGCAATTTTTAAAATATTGGGGAAGGTACCAGAAAGTGTGGACCGATAGATCCTATCTTCGGATTCGACTAAGGTTTGATAAAAATATTACGATGTTTATAGTTTAGATCAAATCAGACACTTCATTCGTTTAATATCCTTATTTTATTCAGAGCAGTAATGGCGCCCAACGTTGTTTTCTAAAAATTTTTATTTTCAAAATTTTATGGGGAGAGGTGCCAAAAGGTGTGGAACGATGGATCCTATTTTCGGACTCGACCTAAGTTTGATAAAAAAAATTACGATATTTATAGTTTTTATCAATTCAGATAAAATTTAAACACTTTGTGGGGTATTGGTGCCAGCCAAGACCTACTCCAAAGTGTTTAAAATGGATTTGATCCAAAGAAACTTAAAGCCTGAAACATTTTCATCGCAACAAATAGGCTGATGATCAAATAAGACAATTCATTCGTTTGTAGAAGTTGGCTGGCACTAATCCAGCCAGCCAACATCTACTTCAAATTTTCTAAAATGGATTTGGTCTAAAGAATCTTAGGGTCGGAAATTTTTTTTATCGTTTCAAATAGGTTAAGGATATACAAATTATTCTGCACAACTCGTGGAAATCAAAATTTACGTTTATTTTACATTAAGTTGGATTAAGAATATACATAATATTGGCTCCCTACATGGTGTTTTTTTTCTGAATAAGTCGTCGAACATTTTGAGAAACATTTATATTTCAAATCAGTTTTTCTATGGAATTAAATTATTTAAAGTGCGTTAAATTATGGAAACTTTCAATAAATTGTTTCATAAAAAAAATGGCGCCAAAATATCAATCTGATTTTCTTTTCCATAGAAATCTCACTCAACATGAATTTAATTCCATTTCACATTTAGAAGGTGCGTTTGAACTAGCAGGATGAAATCTCCTAAGAATTTTATTTTCATTATAATTAATAATCCTTAATTTACGTTGAAAATAGTTTTGCAGACCATTCCCATCTGAAATCGTGGGTTATAGTGGTTATTTAGAAATCTTCTTTTGGATTCCTTGTAAAAAACTGAGGGCATTCATCTTCGTAATTGCATCCTTTTTTGAGCAAATAAAATCATGTTAGATACATTAACTGATACATACTTCTTCGAAAAAAAATGGCGCCCAACGTTCATGTATAGTTTTTCAATTTTATTCATGGCCTTTTTTGTAAAATGAAGATTTTAACCATTTTTTTTAAGTGGCGCCCATTGTTTTTTGGAATTTGTTTATTAAAAATTCATTACTAAATATAGATGGCGATATTCGATTTATTTATTTAATTAGGAAGGACACTCCAGACTATTTGGTTCCATTATTCTAGAAGAATTTTTTTTTCACTTCTTGTAGACAATCTTCCCTGTCTCAATGTTCTCTACCTTATAAAAGTCGCATCTGAAATAACCATACAATTTCACATAGCCTCATACTGTAGTTTCCTACTTCCTTCACACCTTGCTCATTTGATTTTTTCCAGTCATAACAACAATACAGCAACAACAACATCGTTTGAATCAAAACAACCTTTGGAATGTTGTTTTACAAATAAATCATGTGTGCGTGTTTTTTTTCATTCTACAGATTATAATGGGGTTTCAAACTATAAATAGAATTGATCAGCAAAAAAAAGCATTATT